CCTTCTCTTGTGTTTCCTGCCTAGAGAAGTTCCTGTAACATTTGTTGTAAAGCTGGTTTGGTGGTGCTTAATTCTGTTAAAACTTTGCTTATCTGTAAAGGTTTTAGTTTCTCCTTCGAATCTGAATGAGATCCTTGCTGGGTAGAGTAATCTTGGTTGTAGGTTTTTCCCTTTCATCACTTTAAATATGTCCTCCCACTCCTTCTGGCTTGCGGAGCTTCTGCTGAAAGAACAGCTGTTAACCTTATAGGGACTCCCTTGTATGTTATTTGTTGCTTTTCCCTTCCTGCTTTTTTTTTTGCGGTTTGTGGGCCTCTCACTGTTGTGGCCTCTCCTGTTGCGGAGCACAGGCTCCGGACATGCAGGCTCAATGGCCATGGCTCACGGTCCTAGCCACTCCGCGGCATGTGGGATCTCCCTGGGCCGGGGCACGAACCTGTGTCCCCTGCATTGGCAGGCGGACTCTCAACCACTGCACCACCAGGGAAGCCCTCACTTGCTGCATTTAATAGTTTGTATTTAATTGATAGTTTGATTAACATGTGCCTTGGTGTGTTTCTCTTTGGGTTTATCCTGTATGGTACTCTCTGTGCCTCCTGGACTTGATTGACTATTTTCTTTCCCATGTTAGGGAAGTTTTCAACTATAATCTCTTCAAATTTTTTCTCAGACCCTTTCTTTTCCTCTTCTTCTTTCCTCTTCTTCAACATAATTCAAATGTTGGTGCATTTAATGGTGTCCCAGAGGTCTCCGAGACTGTCCTCAATTCTTTTCTTTTTTTTTTATTCTGCTCCCTGGCAATTATTTCCACCATTTTATCTTCCAGGTCACTTATCCATTCTTCTGCCTCAGTTATTCTGCTATTGTTTCCTTCTAGAGTTATTTTTAATTTCAGGAATTGTGTTGTTTGCCACTGTTTGCTCTTTAGTTCTTCTAGATCCTTGTTAAATGCTTCTTGTATTTTCTCCATTCTGTTTCCGAGATTTTGGATAATCTTTACTATCATTACTCTGAATTCTTTTTCAGGTAGGTTGCCTATTTCATCTTCATTTATTTGGTCTTGTAGGTTTTTACCTTGCTCCTTTGTCTTTCCAGAACAGGAAAGCCAGTGCCTCTCCTTGCAAGGCATGCAGAAATATGAGAAACCTTTGGAGAATTGTCTCCTAAGATTCTGATCTTTAAATCTGCTTGTTAGTTTTTTCCTTCTATTCCAGTAAATTTATATTTTTAAACTATTTTTTTACTTATATAATAATAATACTAAGAATGTTAATATATGCACAGCAACATGGACAGTGACTTGTTTGCCTGCTACAACTTCGTGAAAATAAGCCTTCCAATCATGGTGAAAAGAAATCTTCAACATACCAGGCTCCTACTCCTAAAGAAGGTTGATGGTAAAATATATTAAGTATCAGAAGTTACAGCTTTGCTTATTTTTAAGTATTATTATTGTTTCATCAGAAAATATTTACTCGTCCTTTATGTGATTTTAAAAGACAAGTCTTGTTGGCCTTCTAGCTTAAGATGGTAGACTGAGCACAAGAATCTCTCTCCTCCTTCCTAAAATGGAAAAGATTAAAAGAAAAATAAACCAAAAAACCCACCACAGCTCTGGGAAAAGAAAGAAAAATTTTTCATGAATTCATGAAAAATGGAAAACAAATGGGATATGATTGACAGGATGAAAAAAAATGGAGATTCAGAAGATTATATAGTAATAAGAGCCATTTTTCACCAAAGAAGTCTGGAGAAAATCCAAACTCAGTAATAAGAAATAAAAAGAGCAAGAGTGATCTCTGAGGCTACTGTCAAGGTAATTAATAAAAGGATTGCCTATAGAATATCTGGGCCACTCTCCTCAACCCCTCAAAGTACATAGAAATGTTGGCAGGAATTATTTATGCTCCAGTGATAACCCTCAAAATTACCAGAGTTCCTAACATTGTATGTTGAAGCTGGAGAGAAAAGCAAAAAAGAGCATGAAGTAATTCCAGGCCTCCACAACAATGGAGGTTAATAAAAAAGAAAGGCAGTGCCAGCCAGAAATGAAACCTTTCGTTGCCCAAAATAAACCCCTTATGCTCCTTACAGGACAGACTAGCCCAGAGTTTACAGTCAGCCCTCCCAGTTAGGGGAGAGACCTGTTAGAAAAAGCAATCTACCTAATTGCAGAAGCAACCCATACCAGCCAGCTATACCAATCACCATGATTATTAATTAAGCATTTGTTAATAAATATAACAGAGAGCCAAAGATTATCAGCATTTATGAAAAGCTAACGGTATGAATGAAAAAAACAAAATGAGCAAAGACAGAATAGACCCTAGGAGAAACAAAGATAATGTATGGGATAGAAAAAAACCTTCAAAGTATTCTAATTAGTATCTTCTAAAACATGAAAGGATATTATATCCAAAAATGCCCGTAAAACAAGAATGGGCTGCTATGAAAAGAAAGAACCAATGAAAGAATAAGAGTTCTCTCAAATAATCTCCACTTTTTAATTTAAAAGTAGTAAAGAATACTGGGCATGGTGGGCACACGCCTGTAGTGACAGCCACTCAGGAGGCTAAGGCAGGAGGATCTCTTGAGCCCACGAGCTCTGTACTGTAGTGTGCTATGCCAACTGGGTGTCCGCACTAAGTTGGGCCTCAACATGGTGACCTCCCGGGAGAGGGGGACCACCAGATTGCCTCAGGAAGGGTGAACTGGCCCAGGACGGAAACAAAGCAGGTCGAAAGACTGAATCAATGATATAGAGAGAGGAGAAAGACAGAGGGGCAGGGGATGGGGAGAAGACAGAAAGGATGGTAATGGGGCGAGAGAGAATATCTTAAAAAGTGGAATAAAAAGAATAAAAAATTAAAATGAGAGAAAAGTTAAGAAATCTGGAAGACTAAGCATCCACTAAAAATGAGCAACAGATGGAGAGAGTGGTGTGAGAACAAAAAATTGAAAAACTAACAGAAAAATATTTTCCTGATATGAAGAAAGATTTGAATGAAATAATTGAAGGAGCTCACCAAGGGTCAAACAAGAAAAATGAAAAAGGATAAAACACCCAGACGCACCCATGAAAGTTCTGAAATCCCCCAAATAAAAACATTGTCCCAAAGCTTCCAGAAAGAAAACAAAAACCAGGTACCCTATCTGGAACCAGACCTCCCATAAACAACAATTTAATCTGGAAGAATATGAAACAACACTTTCAAACTTCGACTGTAATTCAAACATGGGGAAGAATAAATATGTTTTAAGCATACAAGGACTCGAAAATTTCAGAAAACATCAGTTCTTGAGAAAAAGTTTCAAAACATATTCCAGAGAAATGAAATAAGAATCCAAGGAAATAGAATAACAAAAGATACATGAAAGAATATTAAACCAAGAAACAAGTAAAACACGTAGCTAGGTTGAAATTATTGCTGGCAATTGGCTGTACAGTTTAATGCAAGTTATAAGAAAGAGTTCTTTTCAAAGTAGAGACATAATATTAAAAACAAATAACAACCCAAAACTATAATCTGTGATTTCAATAATAAATGAAAGATGGAGAAAGGAAATACAGCAGTAAAACATGCTAAAAGTTGTAACTATTTTAGGAAGGAAAAAATAATAGTAACTAATCTTCAGTATTCAGAGAGATAGGAAGATTAGAATTTCTTTTGAATTTAAAAATAAAATAATTTAAATTACAATATACATACTACAAACACAGAGGAAAAAAGGGAAAAAATTCAGTAAAACCAATGAAAGAACAGAGGTTCTTGAAAACAGAGGTACTTGAAAATTCAAGAAAGATATAATTCTGCTCTTTTACAAGCTTATGCAGAGCATAGAAAAATAAGAAGCACAAAGATCATTTTATAAAAGTAGATGTAACCTTAATAACCTGATAATTTGACAAGGGCAGGAGAGAAAAAGAGAATTATAAGCATAGATGCAAAAATTGTATAAAAATATTAGCAAACCAAATCTAGATACATACAAAATGTAATATGTAACAAATAGCTGTATTTATTACAGGAATGTAAGTTTGTTTTAACTTTGAAAAAGCAATCAACATATTCAATTATATTAACATACTGAAGAAGCTACATCATATCAGTGAGTACAAAAAAAGCATATAATAGTCAACATTCATTCCTGATTAAACAAATTAAAACAACCTCTTAGCAAAGAATGAAAATAGATGGGAACTCACTTAATATTATAAAGAGAATCTCAAAAAAACACTATAGTAAACTTGATACTTAAAGATAAAACAGTTAAAACTTTCCCTTTAAGATCAACCACCTGCAAGACAAGGGTACCTGCAATCACCACTGCTATTCAGCATTGAACTGGAGGTTAGATAACAAGGACAATAAAGTAAGAACAAGAAAAGTTATAGATTGAAAAGGAAGACACAAAACTGTTATTTGCAAATGATGTCAGTGAAATACCTAGAAAGTAGAATCTACAGATCAATTGTTAGAATTAATAAAAATTTAAGCAAGGCTGCTGAATACTTAATATACAGAAATCAACTGCATTTCTATACACCAGCAACAAACCAAAAATGAAATGCTTTAAAAGGAGATAACACTGATAGTAACATTAAGAAAAAATAGCATGTATCCAGGAATAAATCTTATAAAAGATATGCGAAATCTCTAGGGGAAAATTGCTTCAATAAATGCAGCTGTCGGGTATCCATAAGGGAAAGCATGTTATTGGACCCTTACCACAAACCATACACAAAAATCAGTTCCAAGGAGATTAATGATCTTAAGGTAAAAGGATAACTCTAAAGAATGAGGAGTTAGCCTAAGGAAAGAGAGGGAAAAGCATAGATTTGTAGCTAAAATATGGCCTATGTATTATATTAAAAGCTTTTTCAAACAAATAAGAAAAAGATGGACATTCAGGGTGGTGGAGGGAGCAGTCAGTTCTTCTGACATTACTCTTAACGTTTTTAAAATTCGTGAGCAGGATTTTAAAACTCTAATTGTTACCTTATATTTTGCCGTTCTTGATCAACACATCTTATTTGTGATGCAAGCATTTTTTTGTGAACCTTAATTTCTTCATTCCGTTCTTCCATAGCAGTGTGTAACTGCTGTTTTCTTTCTTCCAGAGAAAGAACTTCTTCTGCCTTACTGTGAAGCATATCTCGAATACGTTTAACCTCAAGTTTTAAAAGATTGTCTTCTATCATCAAATCCTATCAACATAACAAAATCGTCAAATATTGAAATAATAATTTGCATATCCAAACCAAAATATATTTCCTTTTTATTGAAAAGGAAATTGAAAAAACTTGAAAAGATAACATTTTCTAATTTGACCATTGACCAAGATATTAATTAGGGTTAAATTTAGATTGCTCTGAGTCATGACTGATTTTCCTTTTATTTTTATTTTAAGGAAAGGGTTTATGGTTATTCCAAGTCTTTTATTATAATTCAATTTTACTAAAAAAACAAAAAGAAGAACTTATAAAATTTAAAGTTACAATGTCCAGCAAATATATGAAACCCAATGGATGAGCATTTTTATATTCTAAACTAAATCTTACAAAATAATGTGTAAATACCTTTTTATTTTAAAACAGTTCAGTCATGAGTAGAGTGCTGACACAAGATCACACTAATAGATCAATTTTCAGAATAGAAAGCCCAGAAAAAACACTCTAGAATATAAGATTTTACGAATTCAAAACAAAGCTTGTTAGCTGGAGAAAAGATTAGATCCCCATATCTCATATGTACCAAAAATAAATGCCAGATGAATGAAAGAACTTAATGTAAGTGATTAAACCAAAAAAAAAAAAAGAGATTAAACCAGTGCAGCCACTAGAAATAGTAAATATCTGTTTGATTTTTAGTGTGATGAAAAAGTTTCTAAGCATAAAAATTATACAGGGAAAAACACTTAAACATATAATGTTAAAAAAAGTTTTTATGTCAAAAGAAACTGAATAGAAATTTAAAGACAATGGGACAAATATTTATGAGTTAATATTTTAACATATGAAGATCTTCTGCCAAGCATTTAAAAAATATAAACCACCTGGGGACTTCCCTGGCGGCACAGTGGATAAGACTCTGCACTCCCAATGCAGGGGGCCCGGGTTCAATCCCTCGTCAGGGAACTAGATCCCACATGTGTGCCGCAACTAAGAGTTTGCATACCACAACTAAGGAGCCCATGAGCCACAACTAAGGAGCCCACCTGCCACCACTAAGACCCAGCACAACCAAATAAATAAACATATAAACCTCCTAATGGAAATATGGGCAAGAAAATGAACTAGAAATCCAAAAGAAAAATTATGGAATATAACATAATAGAAAAAAATGTTTAAACATTTTAATTGAAACATAAGTATTTTAAATTTTATGTTTAAACATAAAATGTTTTAAAATGTCACCAATTTCTAAAGTGCAGACTAAAAACAATGAGATACTATGTTTGCCCATCAAATTAACAATAATTTTATAAATTATATTATCCAGCCCTGGTGGTGGTGAGTAAAATAGAATGCTTACACACTGCTGGTAGGAGTATTAACTGAACCCTCTAAAAGGCAATTTGGCTTGAAAATAGTTTCAAGACACCGAAAATATTCATTCTTTTTGAACCATAATTATACAGCTAGAAATTTATCCTAAGGAGATACATGAACAACTGTACAACGAAATATGTGCACAGTACATGATAGCACCATTTAGAATAGCCAAACACTAGAAACACATATGCAAAAATAGGAGATGGTTAAATAAATTACGGTAACTTCATGCAATGGACTGTAGGAAGCCTTTAAAGATAATTAGTTTGGGAGACATGTGCAATATACTTTTAAATTTTTGAATATAATATATAAAGCCAATTTTCTTTAAAAGACTGAAAGAAAATAATATACTATAACACTTTATCTTCTGTACAGTGATTATAGTGACTTATTTTCTTCTTTATAATTTGGTATTTTAAATTTTTCTACAATTAGCATGAAAATATGTGTTTTTTAATATTATATATACATATGATTTTATTGTACCTGTTTCAAAGCTTTGGCTTTATTAAGTTCTTTCTCTGATCTGTCATTGAAGAGGTTTAGTTCATTTATTTTGGTCATGAGGGACTGTTTTTCATCACGATTTTTACTATTTGACTTCTTGATAAAGTAAAGATCATTCTGTAAAGAGGAAAAAATGGTACATAAATACATATTTTAAATAACAATATTAAATACTACTAAACATGACTTACTTTAAACTATACGCTCCATTAAATATTTATAATAATATTATAAATCTCACCCTTCATGCTCTTATGTCTCTAATAGAATATACATGGATGTTCACATAGAAGCATTTTCATTTTTATTATCTATTGATGTTTGGGTTCAGTTTGAGTTCAATAATTCTAGGAAATATTATGTATGATTACAGTTCAAACTGAACTATTACGTCGTTGCCATTTACGGGGAGAAATGGGAGGGTGGAGTTCAAGCTTTGGTTAAATACATGGTTCACCTTCTGGAGTTCATTATTTGATTCAACCCAAGTCTCAGAAGGTAAAAACATTAACAGTCTGAGAAAGCATAGGGTCTTGGTTAACTACAAGCTCTGGAATCAGACAGCCTTAATTATATATTAGCCATCCAACCCCAGTGGGCAACATACTCTTCCTCAGTTTCCTCATTTCCAAAATGGAGATGATAACTATACCTACCTACCTGGGTTGTTGTGAGGGTTAAAGAATTTACTGTCAAAGAATATGTGCAACAATGTTTGACACATGGAAGTGTCTATTATTATTATTACATATATAATCACATACTGCTGGAGAGAAAAATGCTAGATAAGATCTAATTCCACTGAATGAATAAATGGGTCATACATACTCAGATATTAGTTTTCTAGCTTTATACCAGTTTGTATCCTCCCTCCCACTCAGAACCAGAACAAGGTTTGTTCCCTTTGTCCCCCTTAGCCCCTCTTAGGGGACATAAAGCAAAAAGTTTCTATTGCCAAGATCTGTCTCCCTTCTCTCTCTCTTTCTCTCTCTCTCTTCCTCTGTCCCTTCCTTCTTCCCTCCCCTGCCCTTCTCACTCCCTGTATATCTCTGAACTATCAGGACTTAAGATTGAAGCAAGACATTAAGAATTTTTTTTCACATAAAGATGTGATTTCATAAAATTAACTTTTAGAATGAAATTTTTAATTTAAGGTAATTTTCAACCAGAAGAAATTTGTCTCTACTATTCAAAATAATAGATGGAGTGGCATGGGAAAGAGAATACAGAATGACTTTACAATCTAATGCTACTATTGAGAAGAGAAAACCTTCATTAGAAGATTAACTAGCTTTAATATCTTTAAAAATTCACTTGCATTTCTATTAATTTATTTACCTCTCTGTCAAAACCAGCTGGGATAGGCATAAGTACTAGCCAACTGCATAATGGACAGAGCCCCAGGGTAGCTAAAAGGAGGAACACTAGAACCATCCTCACACAGGAAAACAGGCACAATTCAGGCTAGGATCAAAAAACATGTCCAGATACAAATGTTACCCTCCTATTATTCTGTAGCACTAATATTCTCATATTCTATGTAATTAAAAAAATACCATTTATTGAGTACCTACTAAAAGCACTGTGTTAAGACATACATTGCTTCTAATTCTCCCAAATGCCCTAAAATAATATTAAATATTGTTTTCCATTTTAAAATGAGTAAACTAGGACTCAGGAAAGTTAAAATATCAGTTAGTGGTGTAACCTTGACATTCAAAACCGGTTCTGCTCTTTTCCACTAAACCAAGGAAACAGTCTTCTAAAAATTTAATCAGGCTACAAACCACTCCAAACCAATATTTTGTCATGTTAATTTTTTTTTCCCCTAATTTAAAAAAGTAGTAGCTCCCTTTCACCTTTGTAGCCCTGAAGGAATTCAGAGCAATTCTTCTTAGAACCACTAGAGGACACTCATCACTAGCCTTTCCAGCTGTTTAACTTTTAAACCTTTGGAGTTCTCCCCCTATTCAGGTCCATGTTTTCACTCCTTCACTCTTACTTCCCAGTTACACTTTAACATAGGTTTTATATTACATAGATTCCCCTAACACAGGTTTTATATTGCCATAAACATTAAAGTACCTAAAGATGAAGAACATTTTTACCGTATTAACAAAACTGAGTCATCTGAAATATGTAACTAAGTAAATATTTGAATAACAATAGATGACCCGTAAAAGAGCAGCTTCTTTTAGATGCCACTTCAGACATAAAAAGCAATCAAGTTACTATGGCAGATACATAATAGAAAACTGGAATTTATCAATTTTTTAAATCATGTACTATTTAAGACTATTTTTAAGTCCCATGGACCACGGATCAAATCCTAGCTGTAATCATGGACAAGTTACTTAATCTGTAAAACAAGTATTATCTTCATCACAAGACATTTATAAGGATTAAATGAAATAAGATACTAAAGGCATATACTTAGCATACAGTAAATGCATAATCAATAGTAATGTTACATTCTCATAGTCAGTATAGAAATATAAGCATTAGCTCATACACTTGTTATATATATGGGTAGCTTGGCAATTATCCTATCCAAAGTCAAGTCTTAGGAACATGTTGACTTAAAACAAAATGATGACTAGGATATTTGAAGCATAAAAAGTATTTTAACTAAGTTACATGAAGCTTCTTGATCTGTGTTTCCAAAAGGTTAAATGTAGATTTTTTCTCTTCCAATGTCTTTTGAAGTTCAACAATTTTTGCTTCAAGGGCTTGTTTTTCTTCTGAGTTAATTTCTCCCTTTAACCGTGACATTCGGCGTTCCACTTGTTGAATGTAAAAATCCTGTTACAGGTTTTAAAGATAGGTTAGTAAGAAGAAACAGTTAAAACCATTTCTATAAATGCAAAAACACTGTAAATACTTTCTTATGAATTTGGCCTGATGTCACCATTTACTAAAGTCACTTTCACCCTTCAGTGATTTATAGGATGAAATCCTTCTTACTGTAAGGGAAGAAAGAGCAAACTATTCTTCAACAACCAGAGTACGTGATAGTAACACAGAACTAATCTGAAAATATAATAAAGCAGCTAGGTGGTCATTTATCATACTCCCATGATGGAACATCAGTAAATCCACTGGATTTACATGGATATGGATTTTTTGAGGGTACATTTTCTAAGGAGTACAAAAAAAGAATCACAAATTGTTAGCCATGAAAGTCTCAAATATGATGAACTTCTAAAGAATTATTCTGAAAATTATACTTTAGAGTCTAATTTTGAGAAACTAAGAACACATTAGATGGGGAAATTAAGACGTAGAGAGGGAGGACATTAAGAAATTAACATGAGACAGAATATATAAATAGAACAAAAAGGAAAAAAAATTAAAACATTTTTTGGTCTGGGGTTGGGGGTGGGGATGGGGATGGGGATGCCGATGTTTGCACAACATACAGTCATAGGGGTTTCGGGTTTTGTTTGTTTGTTTGTTTGGTCACGCTGTGTGGCATGTGGGATCTTAGTGCCCTGACCAGGGATTGAACCCGCACCCCCTGCAGTGGAAGCGTGGAGTCTTAACCACTGGACTGACAAGGAATTCCCAACATACAGTTTTTCTAGGTTTCAGACATCTCATTCCTTGTTTTGTTTTACTCCAGGTCCAATTGCTCCAGGTTCCTTTAAAGCATGGTCTCCCTCACTAGAGCTGTCGATCCTCTTCTCTATTTATTTCAGATCAAGAAAAAAAAATAGCTTTTAAGGCCCCCTCACCCTTCGCTGACCTAACATGATATCCCATCTTCAGCATCTGTCTATCCCCCCACCCCAAGAGTTCTTAGAAATCTTTGTTTTCTTAGGACACTGCAGTATCTTGACCATCACAATTATAACAAATCAATATGAAGACATTCATAAGAGTAACATCTACCTGATTGTACATAATTTCTTGCTGCTGTAAGGTTTCAAAGTCCAGTTTATGTAACTGATGGTTCAGGTGCTTTAGAGAAGAACGGGTTCCTTCAATTTCAGATACAACAGCTTTTTCTTTCATTGTCTCAGTCTGTAATTCCTGAACTTTCTTAAATAGCACACCCTTCACTATGTTCAACTGAACTTCTACTTCCTGATAATAAGAATAACAATGATTAATGAAATATAATACCTTATAATGTTTTATTGCATGAATATTATAATTTGGGGGTCATAAATGAACCCTCATTTTAGCCCTTAAGAATATAAAGCCCTTCCCACAGTTTCAGCAAATCCCCAACATTGCTTGTAGTCTACTCTAGTCTAGTAGACTAGAATAGTAGTTTTCTATTCCTGTGTCATGCACCTTGATCTGTCATCTTAATTCTATCCTATGTCACCTTAGCCTTAGAACTTGACCATTCCACTGGTTTCCTTAGAACATAAAATATACTGAAGACACACAGCTTCTAAGCTCACAAAGTTTACTAAAGTATTGAGAGTGTTAAGGGAAGAAATCTCCCACCTTCTTTTTGGTACTATCCAGTGGTGAGCAGATAAATTTTAACCATCAGCTTTCTAGTAGATGGGAGGTTACAGGGAAGAGGCTGATTTCTATGATTATTTTATTCCCACTATGGCCAGTTTCAAGCTACTAACATGATTCCTCTAAATGCAGAGCTAGGAAGAGATATGCCGTAGCAGACCATTATGCAGTATATCTACTAGACAGATATAACAGATGTTAATAGTCTTAAGTAACCTTAAAAGCATAGATAACAGTAAAATGCAGTAAAATAATTTGGAAGTGATATGTGCTGAGTACATATTACTTTTATTTTTAATATAATTTATTTAATTGTAAGTCTATATAATTTGATTTTTAATAGTAGCTATGTTTAGCATTTGACTTAAAAAATTCCAGAAAATTTAACTATCAGCTCTTGTGAGCTGGTGAGAGCTGGCCCCAACACACTACTGGCACTATCACTATCCCTTACTCACACCTTGCCTGCAGCTGACTTCCCTACATGTGCAGCCCTCTAGCAAATAGAAACTGGTACCCCATTCCCACTTCTCCTTTCTCAGGAGGCAGGTCCGTCTTGATCTCACAGTGTCACATCAATATATTCTAGGTTTCAAACAGATCTCCCATGCCAAGATCTATTGAAAGCTCTCATTTTAAAATGTTGAAATAATTTCCCTCTGTGTTCTTATACCCAGATAAGCATATTTCCCTTTGGCATCCAATGAACCTCAATATGAAACAAAAGAAGTCTGTGACTGGCACATTTAAATTTTCACAAATCAAGAAATATAATCTGATATAACCTTATAAAATGCATTCTTTTTCATATAATAGACAATTTTCACTGGGTTTAAGAACTTCTGAGACTGCTTGGCAGAGTTTTAAAGTCAGTGCTTGGTGGTGAATAACACAGCAAAATATATAGAGTTGAGATTTTTTTCAAACAAACAAAAACCCCCAATAACTACAGAAAACAAGATTATGAACCCAGCCCTGCTACAGCACAATCAGTACACATGCTGCCAATCTTATTGTTTTCTAATTCAGCTAATTTCTTTAAAAATATCACTAGTTTTTAATTATGTCTTCAGAAGGTGTATTTCATACAAACTTCAGTCTTTACAGACTTCAAATAAGTTCTAATACTATCCCGTTCCATGTACTACAGAAAATCATGCTCTTAGGGGGAAAAAAATCCACACCTTTTTTTTTTAATAATGTTGTATGATTTGGACTCAAATACCACTCAAGTCAAGACTGTTGCATGACTTCGCTACTCAGGAATTTTAAACATACAACAGCACACTGAGGAAGCTGGATTCTATCCAAATACAAATGAAACCATACTTCATATAGGCCTCAGCAAATGGGGGATTTTACCACCACCTTCAGCTACCCCTCCTCTTCCCCCATCAAAAAAAAGAGTAAGGGCTTCCCTGATGGCGCAGTGGTTGAGAGTCCGCCTGCCGATGCAGGGGACACGTATTCGTGCCCCGGTCTGGGAAGATCCCACATGCCGCTGAGCGGCTGGGCCCATGAGCCATGGCCGCTGAGCCTGCGCGTCCAGAGCCTGTGCTCCGCAACGGGAGAGGCCACAACAGTGAGAGGCCCGCGTACCGCAAAAAAAAAAAAAAAAAAAAAGAGTAAAAGCAGAAAGTAGTGCCTACAGTGATAGGTCACACAAATAATTTTGAAGTTTTCAAAGAGGGAACGGTTAACCAGCCTTTTCCAGTTCCTTAAAAATCGGCTTTAATTCTACCAGAATGCCAAAGAGCTTAAGGTAGAAGGGGTATGCCAGTAAAGTTAGTAAAAGTGTTAGCATTTAAAAGTCTGTTTACCAATAAATGGTGCCAGACTGGAAGAGGTTAAAGAGATAGCAGATGATGAAGAAATACATGCAACGAACGTAGACCACTGGGGGAAACTTGATCACAAACAAAAAAGATGATAATCTGGTGTAAATCAGTTGTAAAACACGGGCATTTTTCAAGATGCATTTGCAATGTAAGAACATATATACAAGGACTTCCCTGGTGGCACAGTGGTTAAGAATCCACCTGCCAGTTCAGGGACACATGGGTTTGATCCCTGGTCCGGGAAGACCCCACATGCTGCGGAACAACTAAGCCTGTGTGCCACAACTACTGAGCCTGTGCTCTAGAGCCCGTGAGCCACAACTACTGAAGCCCGTGTGCCTAGAGCCCGTGCTCCGCAGCAAGAGAAGCCACTGCAATGAGAAACCCGAGCACCGCAACGAAGAGTAGCCCCTGCTTGCAGCAACTAGAGAGAGCCTGCACGCAGCAACAAAGACCCAATGCAGCCAAAAAAAAAGTATAGGAATGGCAAACAGGGACAGAGACACAGTAGGCATTGAGAAGACATGGAATTTAAGATAGAAGGGCTATACCTCTAAAAGAAGACAAAGTTAAATGCTGAAAGTGAAGCAAATGGAGAATTAGGAGCTGAAGATAAAAAGAGGTACAACAACTCAACAATCTAATTACAAATGCAATCACCCCAGAAATCAGAGCCTCGTAAAAGACCTCCTTCTCCTCTGATCTCAAGAGTCTAATTTATTCACTATTGCTAAATTTGCTGTGATTTTTTTCTTTAATTTATATATTTTTGGCTGCATTGGGTCTTCGTTGCAGTGTGCAGGCTTCTCATTGCGGTGGCTTCTCTTGCTGCGGAGCACCAGCTCTGGGCACGCAGGCTTCAGTAGTTGTGGCACACGGGCTTAGCTGCCCCACGGCACGTGGGATCTTCCCGGACCAGGGCTCAAACCCGTGTCCCCTGAATTGGTAGGCGGATTCTTAACCGCTATGCCACCAGGGAAGCCCTGCTGTGATTTTTTTTAAAAAAACGAAACTAAACTTACTTTCACACCTCTTTCTTCCTCCTTTAGCATGTCTTCCAAGTTGGTAGCTTTCTCCTCTACAGATGTAGTTTTCTCAGTTATCTGCTTTAATTTTTTTCTTACAATCTGATTATGATTTTTAATTTTGTGTAACCTATAGAGAATTTATAAGGAAAAAATAGAAAACATGTCTAAAAGATATTTAATGCAAACAAATAAGGAATAGTTTATCCTAAGATTTCTTCATATAACTTGAAAATTTCTTTTGCCATAAATCTTTTTATTATCAATGCGTATATAATAAGCCATAAAAATATTGCTCCTAAGCCTTTGTACTGAAAAACCCAGGAAAATTATTTTAAGTTTAATAATTTAGTAGCTATAATTTTACAGTTATTTAACCAAAAAATCAAATATTCAATATTTTTTCTAGAAATAGTCAAAAACTATAAACATATTTAAATACCTTTTTTCTTACCTTGTTGTTTCTTCATTAATGTCCTTCTTTATTTTGGAAATATTTTTCCTCAGAGCTTCTAAATCACTAGAACTTCTATTCACAGTGGCTTTTAAAGTATCCAGCTATTTATTAGTTAACAGAGAGAAATTATATATTTACTCTACATCTTATAAATTAATATCATTTCTGAGAAGTTCTATTATGAACACATTAATTTCTAACTTACATCACAACCATAAACATAATAACCATGTTGCTGTAATACATATTTAACAATTTTTCTTTTTGATCTGATATTAAATTTTAAATAACTTGTAAATCCTGGCATATTATAGAGAACTACATATATGAGTTAAAAGTGCATAGAACAAAAGCTTCACAACATTGTATGTGGCAATGATTTCAATATGACACCAGAGGCACAGGCAACAAAAGAAAAAGTAGACAAATTGGACTTCGTTAAATTAAAAACTTTTATACAACAAAAACAATAACAAAGCAAAACGGCAACCCAAAGAATGGGAGAAAATATTTGTGAATTATATATCTGATAAGGGATTAATATCCAGAATATATAGAGAACTTCTAAAACTCAACAACAACAACAACAAAAACCCAACCTGACTCAAAAATGGGCAAAGACCTCGAATAGATATTTCTCTAAAGAAGAGATGCAAAAGGCAAATAAGCACATGAAAAGACATGCAACATCATTAATCATTAGGGAAATGCAAATCAAAACTACAGTGAAATACTACCTCACACCAATTAATACAGCTACTATCAAAAAAACCCAAAATAACAAGTATGGACAAGGATGTGGAGAAATTGGAACACTTGTGCACTGTTAGTGGGAATGTAAAATGGTACAGCCACTGTGGAAAACAGTATGGCAGTTCCTCAAGAAATTAAAAATATAATTACCATATGATCAGCAATTCTGAAATAATTGTTCACCCATGTTCACAGCAGCATTATTCATAATAGCTAAAACATGGAAGCAACCCAAGGCCATTGACAGATGAATGGATAAGCAAAATGTGGTATATACACACAATAGAATAGTATTCAGCCTTAAAAAGGAACAAAATTTTGACATATACTGTAACAGGGATGACCCTTGAGGACATTATGCTGAGTAAAATAAGTGAAATAGGCCAGTCACAAAAAGACAAATACTTTATGATTCCATTTATATGAGGCACTTAGAGTACTCAAAATCACAGAGACAGAATGTAGAATGGTGGTTTCCAGGGGCTGGGAGGAGGGGGAAATGGGAAATTATTGTTTAATGGGTACAGAGTTTCAGCTTTACAAGAAAAGAGTTATGAAGATGGGTGATGGTGATGGTTGTAAAACATTAGGAATGTATTTAATACCACTGTATACCTGAAAACAGTTAAGATGGTAAATGTGTGTTATATTACATGTATTTCACCACAATAAAAAAATTTTGAGGAAAAAGAAGTACTCTTATATGCTACAGCTTGTATGAACCTTGAAAGCATTGTGTAAGTAAAAGAATCATGACACAAATTGCACCATATTGTATGATGTCCAAAATAGGCAAATCATAGAGACAGAAAGTAGATCAGGAGTTGCCAGGGCCTGGTAGGAGGGGAGAAAGGAAGGTGATTGCTAATGGGTATGGGATTTCTTTTTGAAAGACAAAAATATTCTAAAATTAGTTAGTGGTAATGGTTTCACAACTCTGTGAAATACTAAAAACCATTGAATTGTACACTTCAAAAGGGTGTATTTGATATGTGAATTCTATCTCAATAAGCAAATTATAAATGAATGAATACCTGCATTCTTTTCTGTAATTGGTTTAAACTTAAAAATTGTTGAGAATGAGCTATTAGCAGTGACATTTAATTTATGCAAGAAATTCATTTATTTTACTTTTTCAAGATCTTAATTATTCTCTTCAGACAGAAAAAAAAATCTTTCCTTCTTTATCAGGAATATAAAGTGTAACAACTTATAGAATAAAATGCTCTGCAATATTACAATTTCTCACCCAAATAGCAGTAACTTCAGATAACATGGCCTCAAGGCACAAATTTCATAAAGATCCCTTTATTGCTAACTAAGGGGATTGCTAACTCTCCCTATGGAATAATCTAGTTGGCATGTATGCTCAAAAAAAGAAAAGAACAAAGCAGGAGAATTTTATTCTCTCTTAGTCTGTTTAAAGACATTATACCACTACATTGTCCCACTACCACATTGAAATATTTTCCCTTAACAAGGTAAGAAACTGAACTTCAGCAGGTAGTTCCACCTAGAATTTGAGAATTAAAACCACCATACACATGTAGCACTGGAAGGACACTTCAAGTTACCACCGATGTCAATAATTCACCTTCACATTTGCTCATTTGCCGGTTATCTTATAATTATGATTTCCAGCCTAGACCCTTCAGGAGCCTTTTGCCTTGGGTCACTTACAGAACACTATGTGTGACAGTCAAGTTGGTCACTGCACAACTCCAGGGGGAGCCCTTCACACCACCTGTGATGTGAATGACAGCCCCCTGTTGCCTTCATCCAAGCAAGGTCTCATTAGAGTATCCTAAAAGTGCCACAACATGAAGGGATGTAACAAAAAGAACTAGAAGGCAGTTTCTTAATCAAAGGAAAGGCTTTATGCTTATTTGTATAGTAATTTGTTATAAACACACAAACCAGTCTTTTTAGTTGACATACCTCATCCTTCAGCTGAATTCTCTTAGTTTCATGACATTGATATTCCGTTCTACATTTTAAAACTTTACGATCAGCAACAGAAATTTTTTTCTCATACTCTGTGTTATTCCCAATCTCACTTTCCAAAAACTTGATCTTTTCCTTAACCAAATTTTCTTTTTCTCTTATTTCCTGTTTTATCTTTGCTAGTGCCTAGGATTTAAAATACATGTTAAATATATATTTAATATAACAAACAAAACTAAAACTAAAAGGAATTTAGTTTTTCTATAGCATTTATTTTACCAAAACTTAAGAAAATGTTTTTTAAAGACAGACTAATTTATATGAATAAAATAAAATATTAATATGCCACACACTAATATCTATAAGCTCATTTTTTAAAGATCTCTGTATTTTATTTCATCCATCTGGTACTTTGCTAAAGGGATGAGAAAAATGTCAATTTTTCATCAACAAAAGGTGACATGTAAAAAATATAACAGTATTGAATAGTTTTCACATGGAAAGTTGGATTTCAATGAAATTTTCCAAATATTTCACAAGACCAGTTTCTTTCATTTTTTGAGAATTTTATTTTTGTTATTGGTTTCTGTAGGAATGTCTTCACGCAGGCTTTTTGCTAGTCTTGGGGATACAAAATAACTAGAATATACAACGTAGTAACTGAGGTATGGACAAAGTATTAATACTATGGGAGCAAAGAGATAATGAAATCTACCCAAGAGAAATCATTAAAAGGCTTTACCTAAGAGCCTTCATTTGAACCGGGCCTAAAAAGATAAATGGGGGGCTTCCCTGGTGGCGCAGTGGTTGAGAATCTGCCTGCCGATGCAGGGCACACAGGTTCGTGCCCCGGTCCGGGAAGATCCCACATGCCGCGGAGCGGCTAGGCCCGTGAGCCATGGCCACTGAGCCCGCGTGTCCGGAGCCTGTGCTCCGCGACGGGAGAGGCCACAACAGTGAGAGGCCCGCGTATTGCAAAAAAAAAGATAAATGGGGATGCATAAATACTCTAACATGGTTAAGGTGCAGGGTGGGAGGGCGGGTGTGGAATGGGGACATAATAAGAAAGGTTGGAGACAGATGATAGGGATTAGGCTGGAAAGGTAGAGGTTAAGGCCAAATGGTGAAGAATTCAATTTTTCAATTGCCATGTTAAAGAGGGTCAGCTTTTAAGCAACATGGAATAAAGATTTTAGAGCTGGGGAATAAAAAGATCATATGTGGTTTTCACGGGTGATTCTGATGGCAATATGTTAACTGAATTTGAGGGAGAAGGAAAATTTACCCTAAAATATATTTCTTCCAATTTTTCTGAAATAGGGTCCCATCAAACAACTAATCCCAGGAGATTGGGTCAGGGGAGAGTATGTGTTCTAAAATCAGTAAGTTTTAGAAATGCTGCATGTAATATTGTACATATTAGCATATTAAATCAATATATATCTGAGATTTACTGCATTTTAAAAAACATTTTAAATTTGTTTAATCTAGTATTCCCATCTATATAACAATTAACATTCTATAATTGTAACATTCCATCTATCTACTATGTTCATTCAACCTTAGGAGGTCAAAACTTCCTAAGTTTATATGTGTCAAATGATTATTCTAGAATTTCTTGCTTTATATTAATTTTTCTACCACTTAATCAGATGTTTTAATTCCTACTTCAGCGTTCACATTTTTTAACAGGGCAATCTATTCACAGTTAAGTTTTCATACAGGTGATGCCACAGAAATCAGAAATACCACAAATTGAGAGCCAGCTGTTAAACACTTAGAAGCATCCCACTACCTATGGAACAATTTCTTGTTTCCCTTCCTAGTCTTTTTCAATACATACAGCCAGGAAATGTCACCCCATAAATAAGGAACCACTGAGGATATGACCAGAGAGCTACAAGCTGTGGATTCTGCCAAATCAGCAGGCTGAGTCAATTTAGCTGCAGGGCTGTATGAGAATTTGATTATGGATCTGCAGTCTTAGATATGACACATTTGATTTACACAGAGGAAGCAGTCAGGACTTGATGTTTGAAAGCAGTATGAAGCCAAGAAAGAGAAACCAACATCAGCATTAAGAAATAAGAGGAACTCATAGTTAACATTGGTTCTCCCAAGTGCCTCCTTAGGGAGGTGTAGGCCATTTTGTTGACAAAATGTTGATTACTTACAGAAGTTTAAAATAAAGAAATCACATTTTACATATAAGTTACATTTAACAAGTAAACCACATCCAGATATGGATGTGGTTCCAAACTCCCTGGGAGTTCCAAACTCCCAGTCACCTGAGCTGCTTGCCAATGCCTTTCCATGGAGTATATTCAGAATGGAAGTTCGCCCATTTTCTCATCTGCCTTCTTTCCTCCTCAATTCCTTCTCCTTCCCAGCTTTCCATCATCTTCCCATTTTCACTCACTACTATTTTACCCCTTAATGATTTCCCAAAAAAGTTCTCCTAAATTACCTCTGAAAGTAGCAAAAGATAACACTAGGTCTGTGTTTAATCAGTGTGGTGTTCCTCCCCTTCTGAGCTTTCACCCCATCATGGGTACCTCAGTTTCAAAAGGGAAAATTTATTGCAGTCCTTTTTTGGCTATCCATGAGGCTCCTTTCCCTACACCTTTGATTAGCACACGAATAGCACACATGTTAAATCCAATGCACCTTGGACAACCATGTATAAGTCAGGGCATTGGTTTTACTGCAATAACATTATCTGTTGATCTTCTCTTGTCCCACATTTCAGAGATGTCAGGATCCAGTCTTTGGCATTATATCCATAAGTAAATAATCTTCATAAAATCTCATTTCTAAATGGATACAGGGTCAGCTTTGAAAAACATTTACCAAAACTATTGAATCCTGCTACAAAAGTGACTTTCAAATAACAGTGTGATTTACATTTGAAATGAATGAGTTAAATACAAAAGAGATAAATACAGCTGAACACTGCAAGGACCAAACAACTACTTTACCAAGGCACAGTTATCAATGTCTCGATCTCTCTTCTGCATCTGTTCTATTGTGTTCTCCCACTGTTGAATGAGTTCTTGCCTTTCATTATGAATCTTACGAAAATCTTGGGCTGCTTTATCCAATTCTAACTGTCAAATGAAGACCAAATAGTATTTCTGTGAATTTAAGTGCTTTTTAAACATCACTTTGACAACTAAGAAATAAAAATCTTTACTATAGGGAGGGTGGGAGGGAGGGAGACGCAAGAGGGAAGAGATGGGAACATATGTATATGTATAACTGATTCACTTTGCTATAAAGCAGAAACCTACACACCATTGTAAAGCAATTATACCCCAATAAAGATGTTAAAAAAATAAATAAATAAAAATAAATAAATAAAAACAAAACAAAACAAAAATCTTTACTAAACCAACCTGTGCACTTAGAGTCTCTGCAAGTTCATTGTCAAGTACCTTTCTTCTCTGATTACATTCCACAGTCAGTCTTTCTAATTGCAGGGTCAGTGCCTATGATGTAATTACATGCAAAAATATTCATAATTACCATTTTATTAACATAAAAGCTGTTAGCATATCTCACATTAAGTATTATATTATACATATACATATTATATTATACATATTTATTTGACATCTAAAATAACTACAAAATAATACATATATTCTTTATCTTCTAGACCCATAGTGCTGCAATGATAACACAATTGTTTCTAAAAAGACTTTTAATACTTTTTAAAGTAAATTAGAAAAAAGATTAAACAATAATTTTCCATTTAAAATTATTTTAACTAACGTATGTGGCATTAATCTATTAGAAAATAGCATGTTTCATGATACTAAAATATTACCAGATTTAATTACAAGTAGATTTTTAAGTAACGGTTATAATAATATATTAAATAATCAATAGCACTATAGTCTCAAATCAGCAAAAACTATCTGTAACATTCAAACTATTACACAAAAGAAGTGAAAATACTTATACATAGTTCTAGTACAAAACTTTCTTTTCTGAAATGCTTTTGAGAAACCTTCTCAATCAGGATTCTTAACTGGGAGCCCAGAGATCCCTAAATGGACAAAGGGCTTCAGAGGATCTGTAAAACTTGCAGCAAAATTTTGTGGATATTTGAGTATAGTCATTTATCTAGAGACAGGATAACTGGCTTTATTAGACCCAAAATGTTTAAGAACTACTTTAAAATTATAAGTACAATTTAGATTAAATGGTTGATATATTACAGATTCAGAGAAAATCTAACACTACAATTTATAATATCTCACCCTAATTTTATTATCATCTTGTCGTGCATACTTCTGAAGAATGAGGGCATCACTATCTTTATGAGCCGATTCTTCCAGCCATGCCTCCAGTGCTTGCTGGTCCCAGTTCATCTGACATTTCAAACTATCCAGTTTTTGAGTAGTTTTAAATATGTAATTCTAATTTCCAAAGAGATGGGGCATGGGGAAATTACAAAACATTATTTACTGTACAAATTAAAATAAAACATGTGCTTCCCTGATGGCGCAGTGGTTGAGAGTCCGCCTGCCGATGCAGGGTAGACGGGTTTGTGCCCCGGTCCGGGAAGATCCCACATAATGCGGAGCGGCTGGGCCCGTGAGCCATGGCCGCTGAGCCTGCGCATGCGGAGCCTGTGCTCCACAACGGGAGAGGCCACAACAGTGAGAGGCCCGCGTACCGCAAACAAACAAATAAATAAATAAATAAATAACATTACATATTACAGGACATATTTAAAAGGAAGAAAGACATCCTGTCTCTGTCCTTGGCCAGATGTATATAAATATGCCATATTTAATTGTATAACCATCATACTAATATTTTAATTATTCAGTTGTGAAATAGAGCGGAGATGATTATACAAAGTTGAGAACAGTGGTTGAGCCAAAGTTTGCTTAAAAAGGCTTCCGGGGGCTTCCCTGGTGGCGCAGTGGTTGGGGGTCCGCCTGCCGATGCAGGGGGCGCGGGTTCGTACCCAGCTCCAGGAGGATCCCGCGTGCCGCGGAGCAGCTGGGCCCGTGGGCCATGGCCGCTGGGCCTGCGCGTCCAGAGCCTGTGCTCCGCGGCAAGAGGGGCCACAGCAGTGAGAGGCCCGCTTACCGCAAAAAAAAAAAAAAAGGCTTCAGGGTAGCTCCCCTAGAGCAATCCCATTAGTCACTCCACCAAAACTACCCCAAGCTGATACACAACCTTAATAAAAATAATGTACTTGATATGCTAACTCAAGCCCAAGACAAGTCCCCTTCAGCCCCATTTCCAATCAGATTGCTGCGTCTAAAAGACCTCTTATATAGAAATTTTGAAAGCATGTCTAATTAAAATAAATACAGTAGTTAAGCAGATAAAAATATTTCTGTCAATGTATTCATTTAACAAATCTAGGTTCACAAGAAGAAAACAGATCAATATGCAAACACATACAAATTAATATGATATGTATGCATATGTATACATATAGAGATACAGATATATACATTTCCATAAGTATATGCATATGTAAAGATAAGAATTGAATTTGGAAAGAGCTCCCAGCCAGGTAACTAAAAACTAAGAAAGAAAAAAATAGGTTATAGTAGTTTAATATTAGAATCACCAGCTGATAATATGAAAAGTAAAAATTTTAACTGAAAAATGAAATTCAAAATCACAAGTGACTTTTTTAATGTAGCTTTTAAAAATGTAGCACTTATAAATTATGCCTAGTGTGGTATATAACAGGCAGCCGGCATGGTACTTTGCACATAGTAAGGCTCAATGACTATTTTGGTAAATGAATATCGAGAAAATAAATGTAACGTTCTATCACTGTTGATTCAAATTACAGCTCCACGTCAGTTTCATTGTCCAAAAAACGACGTAAGTGAATGTCAGGAAACTAAAGAATGCCTTTGCCATACGGAAAAAAAAAAAAGTTTATTTGGTGAGGGAAGAAGGAACAATAGCACACAATTTTAAGTAACATTTCAACACATACTTCCTTATCACTTTTCTTTTCCCGTATTGAAGTTATCTCATTTTCCAGTCGTTGCATTTCATCCTTCACTCGTCCCAGTTCTCTTTCAGCAATCATCTTAAAATGTTCTTCACTTTCAATCTCATGCTCCCTGGCTTTGCAAAGAGACTACAGAATAATATACAAGACAGAAAGACTTTTTAAATTTTAACATTATAAAATATTCATAATAATCCACTAGACAGAAAATAACAAAGTTCCACAAAATGCTTAGATCAAGTACTATTAATTCCACTTCTCGGAAACCTACACCACATTAGACTTTGTGATTCAGTGTAGTCGGTGTTGCTTACTAGTTGTAAGAAGTCAGTTCATGGAATGTGCTAGGAAAAAATGTTGTCAGCAGTTTTCAGTTTTTATGTTGGTCTAAGGAAACTGCTGAAAACCAAAATTTATATACTGAGACTTTTAAAAGATATAATTCATTTATTTAAAAAAAAAAATGAAACTAATTAAAAATACTTAGGAAATGGTATGTTTATAAGAATTCACATATTCTAATTAACAGAGATAATTTTAAAGTAATTATGTAAACAGTGATCGTTATAAATATGTCCTAGAGTATATTAATATACAATGATGACTTTGTGTTAAGTTTTACTTAATAAAATCGTATTTGTTGACTACTGATCTTGTAGGGCTTCAAAGTTATCACCATTTGTATTATTTTTACATTATTAAGGCTGTTAGTGTTGAAGGAAGTTTACTGTCTTTTGTCTCTATTGTCCTACTTAATTGAGGTTTGGCTATAATGAAATACACCTACAGAAAATCTGTTTCTCAATTCCCCAACTCAGTGGTTTAACAACTTGAAGAAAAGATGTTGTTCCAAACTGCTTATTAGTTACTAAATCACATCAGGATACAAAAATCTTGAGATTGTTTTTAAAAGTTCATTAAATTTATAACTTTCTAATAAGACTTGTAAAAACCCATAAAACAGTTACTTACCTATATTAAGTATAAATTGGTATTAAAAACATGACTTTTTTCATTTTTAAGAATTACACACTTCTTCAAAGGAAAGTTGATGCATTTTTTGAAAAATAGTTTCAGATGGAAGTTAGTAAACTCTCCAATGCTGATTTACAGAGCTTTCTGATTTCCTGGGCATCATCAGGGAAAGAGATTCTACACATGAATAGATTGTCCATAAAACAGATGTTTACTTAATTAATCACTCTAAGTTTTAATTTTTATTATTTGTGTTAATATTTCTAAAATGCGTTGTACTGTTCCCAGTTACCTTAGTTTCCTGAATATAATTTAACTTTTCTATTACCTCAGAATCGCCATTATAAAATTCAATTCTTAAACTATGCTAAAATACCGTCGTGTCCTAAGGGCTACTGAAGTGTGTGGACTATTTACCTCCACTCAAAATGGCTCCAGGTGGTTGTGCTGAAAAATTTAAAAGTAGACAGAAACTCTATTATGTGTTTTATTAGGTCTGCTTCCACTTAACGCCATAGTTTCTCACTGCCATCGCTGTATCCTTCTCATATAATCAGCTGACTAATATTATATCAGACTGTTTGAATGAGGATTTCTCTTTTCAAATGAACTAATTATTCCTTGAATTTGGCGGCAGTAGAGTTCCTAAAAGTCTTTTTCCTACCTACTTTCAGGTTCAAGGTTATGTTCATAATTATTGAGTTATACGAAAGTTTCCTATAATATCTCTGAAATCAAATCATAGATGTAAATGCAATGTGAAATGTTCCATGACTACACATGATATAATCAATGTGAATTTCAACATTATTGTACCTGGGTAAATAAGAACTCTTGCTTAACATTTTTGAAGTGAGAAGTCATAGCATTAATTCGATCTTCACAGTCACGTAGCTGATCTTGAAAGCTTGACCTTTCATCCCGCAGCTTTGACAACTGTAAATAATAAATTCTATGATTAACCAAAGTCCTACTAAGTTTTTACCATATTAAAAGGATCTAAAATCAAAAGAAAATTAAATCCTCATTTACTTCACTTCTTGCAATATCCATTTAAACTTCTAAAATCTACTAATCTTTTAAATATTATAAAATAGCTCTGTGGGAAAATTAGCACCATATTAAAAGAGAATAGAAATCTCTCTCAGATTTACAGCATTAGCAGGTCCACTGCTAAAATGCACTTTAATAAGATTCTATTCTGAAATTAAACCACAAGATAGCTAAAGTAGACAGAGCATAGCAACAAGATGTAACAAAAACCCACAGCATGAAACATAAATTTGAAAAGTAGCTGTACATGCAGCATAATAGCTCCTCCCTGAACTCCTATTCAAAACCAACAGACTTAGGCTAAGCTTAACAGAACAGAACAGCTAACTCTCACATGCTTAAAACCTGTTTCTTAATAAATTTTGTGTGTCTTTTGAATAAGAACCCTGAGTAGAAACAAAACATTGTAAATGCAAGCAAACAAACAAACCTTTAGGAAATTATAACACACATTCTCAGGACCACTAGAGTATGTCACCCCTCGAAGCAGTATAAAAGCTCAACAACAAAAAATATGCTTCCTTAGTGTTTGGAGCTGTGGTTCCCCATGTTGGGACTACAACCCAGGAGGTACACAACACCATCCACTAAAATGCAGAAGAAATATTTGAATTTTTAACGAAGGAAGAAAGAAAATAAATACTAATTTACTCATTTGTTATGTCCTATATTTTATTAAACTTACTAAGTACAGTTGACCCTTGAACAACCTGGGTTTGAACTGTGGTTTCACTTATATGGGGATTCTTTTTCAATAAATATAGTACCTATATTTTCATTTTACAGATCTTTAACTAAGTGTGGGGAAAAGTTTGTGTTTGCTTAGAGATCACACACAATATGGGGAATCAAAAGAACTAAGGTTTGATTCCTGATTCTATCCAAACTGTTTCAGCTTCCTGCCCTTGGGTGAATCATTTATCAATTCCCTGTTTTTGAGACAGAGATAGCAGTACTCAAATTTTCCACTGCTGGGGGTGGGGGGGCAGGTAGCACCCCCTAACCCTCACACTGTTCAAGGTCAACTGTAATAATAAATATGTATTTTTTGCTGTTTATTTCATTAATTTCAGTTTTTATTTTAATTCCCTTTTTTTTACTTTATTGTTCTTTTTTTTGGTTTGGTTTGTTTTTGCGGTATGCGGGCCTCTCACTGCCATGGCCTCTCCCATTGTGGAGCACAGGCTCTGGACGCGCAGGCTCAGCGGCCATGGCTCTCGGGCCCAGCTGCTCCGCGGCATGTGGGATCCTCCCGGACCGGGGCACGAACCCATGCCCCCCGCATCGGCAGGTGAACTCTCAACCACTGCGCCACCAGGGAAGCCCTATTGTTCTTTTTTAAAACTTATTAAGAGGAGTTCTTAGTTTCTTTACTTTTTGTCTTACTGATTTTTATGACCTAAATATTTGTCACCCCCAAATTCATATATTGAAACCCTAATCCCCAATGTGATATTATCTGGAGGTGGAGCCCTTGGGAGGTAAGTAGGTTTAAACTATGACATGAGGGTAGGACCCTCATGATAGGATTAGTGTCCTTATAAGATGAGGAAGAGAGACCAGAGCTCACTCTCTCTCTCTTAGCCATGTGAGAACATAGCCAGAAGGCAGCCATCTACAAGCCAGAAAGAGGGCTCTCATAGGTACTCAGCTATGATAGCACCCTGATCCTGACTTCTAGCCTTCATAATTGTGAGAAATAAATGTCTGTTTTTTAAGTCACTCAGTCTATGTTACTCTGGTGTAGTAACCCAGGCTAAGACACTGATCTAAAATAAAGGCAGTTAAGACTATAAGTTTTCTCTAAGATTTTTGCCGTTTCCCGTGGGTGTGGGTATGACGCAGTCCCCTTTCACTGTTTTCTAAAAGGTGATTTTTTTCCTTTCAATTTCTCTTTGATATAAAGCTACCCAGAAATATATTTCTGAGAAACTCACTTAAGTATCAATATTTAAGATGGGTCTCTTAGTCAGCTCAGGCTGCCATAACAAAATATCATAGACTGGGTGGCTAAAACATGGAAATTTATTTCTCACAGTTCTGGAGGCTAGGAGGTCCAAAATCAAGGCACCAGACAATTCCGTTCCAGTGAAATTTCTCTTCCTGACTTGCAGATGGCTGCCTTCTCAGAGTCCGCATATGACAGAAAGAGCCCTGGTCTCTCTTCCTCTTCTCATAAGGACAGTAATCCCATGCTCTCCTTTCCCTGCCATCATGACCTCATGTAAACCTAATTACCTCCCAAAGGCCCCACCTCTAAATACCATCACACGGGGGGTTGAGGGGGGTGGGTAGGGCTTCAACATATGAATGGGGCAGGGGTGGGGGGGTGGGGAAGGCACGCAAGTATTCAGTTCCTAACAATGGCAGATAATTTTTTAAATTGTTTATTATAAATTCTATTGGCTTATGATCAGAAAATGTGACCTATAAATTTTCCATCACTCATTTTTAAATTGTTATAAAATATATATAACATAAAATTAACCATTTTAACCCTTTCTCAGTGTCCGTTAAGTACAGTGGCATTATGTACATCCACGTGTTGTGCAACCATCACCACCATCCATTTCCAGAAATCTTTTATCTTCCCAAACTGAAACTCTGTACCCATTAAATACCAACTCCCCATTCCCCTTACCCCCAGCCCCTGGAAATCACCATTCTACTTTGTGTCTCTACAAATTTGACTACTCTAGGTTATCTCACATAAGCGGAACCATACAGTATGTCCTTTTGTGTCCAGCTTATTTCACTTAGCCTACTGTATTTAAGGTTGATCACTCATTTTCAGGTTTTTGTTCTGGTCTAGTACATAATCTACCTTTGTAAATGTTTTATGAACATATTCTACTTAAGGGATATATGTTCTCTATGTTCTTATTTTTGTTGTATTAGTCATGTCTTTTATATCTTTATTTTTGTCTATTAGAGTTGTCTAATTCTAAGGAAGTAAATATTGAAGTATCTCACTACATATTTTTGTCAAGGCCTACTTGCATTTATAAAAGCTTTTACTTTCACATATTTAGCTGTTGTGTTGTTTGGTGCTTTATCACTTTTATTTTCTTCATCAATTATGATTTTTATCATTGCATAATGAACCCAGAGCAAAAGCATCTGCTTTTTAAATGAAAGCATAATGATTAACTCACCACAACTTGATAATTCCTTCCCCACAGAGTTCCCAAACAACATTTTATTGCCTCTTTCTTCAATATAAAAGGACATGCAAGGACCACCAGATATATATTGAAAACTTACATAATGTGAGGGACATCAAGATAAACAAACAAAAAGATCCCAAAGAAAACAGATAATTCAGGACACAAAAGACAAGAACTAAACACACACACACAGACACATACACACTCAGAGAGATTGTAAATGATAATGTACTCCTAAAACACGACCATGTGATACAAAAAAGCAGTAAGCAAATAACCTGAAAATTAAAAATATGATTGATACAGTTGCCAAAATTAAAATTTCTATGTAAAGATGAAATAAAACCCTAAAAGCTTCCAGAGATTAAAAAAGTAAGCTACAAAGAAATGAAAATCATTTCTGGAAGATATCACTGCTGGAAGATAATAGGGCAATACTTTCCAGATTCTGTGGAAAAATTATTTTTATTCTAGGATCTTCTACCCAGCCAAATGACCATCATATGTGAAGATAATCACAGTGTTTACCTCCCATAGACCCTTCTTAGGGAGACACAAGAAAGTATTTCATTAAAATAAGAGAATAATAATCTGAGAAAAAAGAAGCTATGTGATGTAGGAAATAGAGCATCAACCCAGTAAAGGAAAGGGAATTCTCAAGTTAACAGCTGGGAAATAGGTCTGTGGGAAAATAGTCCATACTGGGAAACACAGGACTCCAGGAGGAAGGAGTAGGGGGAGAGAGAAAGTATCTTGAAGATCTGATACTACGATTTAAGGACTATAAATGTAAAGTTGGCAATGCAAGGAACCAGACTGGCAGCCAGGGATGTGAGGAATTGAAAGCACAGTACTGTGGGTCCTTCTTGAAACCCACACATGGATAGTACCCAACCAGTCAAAAGATGAATCAAAGTGAAAAATTCAAAAAAAGGTAAACTTAGTAAAAGTGGCTGCATGAACAACCATTAAATCATTTTAAATATAAAACTAAGACTAAACACTTGCAGTAAATTAAGGGCACTGAATAGAATGAAAATAAAATAAACCTTGATATTATAAAAATAATAAAACCACCATTTTTAATGGGGAAAAGAAGGTGGCAGGAAGGGTAAGAGAGCTAATTTCTTCATTTCAAAGATGAGAAATGAAAGATCAGGGAGTCACCCCATACTGTCTACAAATGAAGCAAAGAAGTTTTTTAAAAACAATTAATTTAACCATTTAGTTTTTCTTAATGTTAAAGAAATCTTTCAGCAACCATTATCTCTTATAACCAAGTAATACTCACTGAAATTCAAAAATTCCGTTCATTTTCTCCTTTAAACACAAGTAAAATTAAATTTAAATTTCTATGTTAAAAGCAGCACATGTAATAGGATCCCAGTTTTATAATACTCCTGTCTTTTCTATCTGTATACCTGTAGACCATGATGTCTGGGATATTTGTTTAAAGCCATGATAGCCACTTCTACGGTCAACAGTGAGTACTTTGGGGAGGGAATATCTTGAATTTTTTATTTTATACCCTTCTCTTCTGTTTGAATATCTTAAACTTTCAAGAGTTGCTTTTTTAATATTGGAGTTTATTCAGATGAAGTGATTATGGCCCTCGTTATTCTTTTTATTGCTCTTTAATATTTTTTTAAATAGCTAATACAAGTAATATGTATATAAAGTCCTGTGAAACAAATATTATGGCAATAATACCAAAAACTAACGTTTGAATGGAACTTAACCTATATTAAAGTCCTTAGAGCTGTGTAACAACCCTGTGAGATAATTATTTTACTTGTCTCCAGTTTACAGAAGAAGAAATGGACTCAGTGCTCGTAAGCAGGATCAGAACCCAAGACTGGATACTTATTATTAGTCCTCAGTACTCAGTGCTAGATCTCTTATATTTCCTAATGCTGTCCTTCACTTAAAACAAAAAACAAAATCTGAAGCCATCTACATTAGATATAAGTAAATAAGTCAGAAGAGTTTGAAAAACATATTTTCAAAAAACAAAGTGGAGGATTTTCATTTCTCAGAGGAACCTTCTCTTCCATTCTCTAAAGTAGTGTAAGCATCATCAGTTCTTGGACCCTCTTCCACACAACACATTGCCATGTGATGGAACTTTAGACTGACTGCTAACTGGTTTTCAAAGTTTCCTGAGCTGGTTGCAATTTTATTTTTAACAACTACCATGCATTGGTTGCAAGCTGGTGTAAAATACTCCTTACGAAAATATTTTATATATTTCTGTGACAACTTAATCCTCACTTTGAAAAGCTGTAAATTGCACATTATACATACTTACTAGAACATCCCTCTTAAAAACATTTCTTCGAGTCACTTTAAACATCCTAGGCAGTAACTCAAAAAGAAATGTCAACCATAACATGTTTTGTTTACAAACATCCGCAAATAACTGTTGCTACGCAAACCTCAGAAGTCCCTTTGCAAACTGAGCTTAATTCTGAGGAAGGAAAAAGCGGGCGCGAGAACCAGCCTTTCCTCTACTGCTCAGGAGGCTAGAAATGAGTGCAAGGGGTGGAAGAGGAGGAGGGAGTAAAGTTTCAAGCTTTATAGTTGTGAATGTCTATTATAGTTTCAGTTTGATTGATTGATTGATTTTAATGCTTTAGCAAGTACCGAAAAGGGCTAGCAGGTGAGGGAAGAAGGAGATGCTGCCGGAGAGAGGTAGACCGAAAAGAGATGGGATTAGGGAAAGAACGGAGAGAAATAAAAGGGTTGGGGTATTTCTGCCAACTAGAAAACGTCCCCCAACAGATCCCTTCTTCCCCCGCCTTCTTCACCTGATCCTTACCAGATCTTCCAGTATCTTGTTCTCCTCGTTCGCCACCGGGATGGCGAACCCTTCCTCCCAATTCAGCTCCGCCAGGAATTCACTACTCATGATGACAGACAGGTAGGGGACCTCAGAAAAGGTGCAGAGGTAAGATCCACCTTCTCGTATCGCCCGTGAGCGGCACCTGAGGCAACCCAAGGAACTCGCAAAGCTCCGGGGTAGTTGCTACTGGAGCTCTAGCAACCGTTTCGCGCCCTTAGTTACCAAACAGGAAGCGCCCAGGCAAATCTTCCGGTTGAGAACTCCTTCCCAGGATCCAGTGCAACTTTTTCTTCTTGGGCACCCAGAGAAGCGAATCAACTTACTCCTCCAGAGGTTCCTTGGGATTGCCAGGTACCGGCATAACAGTCCTTCAATGTGCGGCTCCGGTTAGCCCGTTCGGCGCTCCCGGGAGGTATAGAATTGGTGGCGCCTGCAGTCTCCGGGGAACCACAGGGCACCGGACCTGCGTTGCGCTACGCAGCTGCGATCGCGGGCGGAAGAAGAACGCTAACGAAAAGAATAAACCTAGCTTTCCTTTCAAGTGGCGTTTGTTGAGTTTCATTAGTAGATGAAATCTTGTAGGCTGAAGTAGACAGGTATTTTGAAGCACAATTCACTCCCTAGAATCATTGCTGGATGTTTTGATCTTCGTCTGTTTTAACTTCTGGTCTCCCACCCAATGGTCTTCTGCCCGGTTGCAGAGTCCTAGTTGACCGCAGTCGTGAACTGCCCCGAGATGGCAAACCTGCAGCGCAGAGTTCCCACACCTTTATTTCCTTTTTTTTTTTTTGGCCAGGCAGCATGTGGGATCTTAGTTCCCCCACCAGGGATCAAACCCGTGCCCCCTGCAATGGAAGCGCAGTGTCTTAACCACTGGACCGCCAGGGAAGTCCCTATTTTCTTTACATTTTCATTTGTTAGCATTTACACATCTTTAATTCCACACAAAAACCTATATTTCTTCCTAAACTCGAAAAAGTCTAACCGCTTTAGACTGGCAAGCACTTTACCAATTCACTCATTTGAATTAACTGTTTGGCACCGGTAGGAGTTTGAGTTTATGACCCGTGTTTTATGTACCCGCTTCTCAGAACTGGGAAGCACAAAACAGTGAACTAACCTAATCCTTTCATTTCCTAGATAAATGAAGTGAAGCTCCCTGAGGTGAAGCGGGTAAAGTAAGCAGGACCTAAACGAGGAAACAGGTCTCAAACTATGCTCTCTGCAATGAGGGGTGTTGTTGGCTGGAATACTCTACCACTCATTGTGAGGACCAATTAATTTTGCTTATCCAATAGTCAAATATATGTAGCTTTTTTTGCCCTTTTGAATTTTATTTTACCTGTTCATTGTTAACCTTTTTTATTATAAAAAGTTTAAATATATGTAAGAATAGAGAGCAGGGTATAATGAACCCCTATATACTCATCACCTTGACTTAACATTCTTTTTTTTTTTTTTTTGCCATATTAGTTTCATCTGGATCTTTTGCTGAAGCATTTTAAAGTAAATCACAAACATAACATGTCACCCATAACTACTGGAGCATGCACCACTAATGTTTTATGTTTAACGTTTTATAACAAACACAATATCATTATCACATCTGACAAAATTAACAGTATCAAAATAACTCTTCATGATCAGTATCTTTTCATGTTCATATTTCCTCAAATGTCTTGAAAATGTCTTTTTGTACCCTTGGTTTGTCGCTACACTTTTGAAATCTTTTGTAGCTTTGTCTCTTTGTGCTTACATGGTTTTCCATATATTTAGCATTATGGACTTAGAAATAGTGTCTTCAAAGTCTAGAGTTAGCAAGGCATTTTACTCTCCAGTTCTACAATGCCTAAATTTCCAAGGTGGTTAAGAGAAAGACAGCTTGTAGAGGAAATGTTGACCTATATGGAATAATGGACTTTTACAGCTTAAATAACCTTAATAGAGATCATATTTTATTTTATAATAGTTTAGTCAACACTACTAATGAAAATGTTAATATCCAGCATATATTAAGATGACATATTGTTATTTATATTTAAAAATTGTTATGGCAATGTCCCTTGTTTAATGATTATTTTAAAATGTGAATACTGAGGCAGCTGCCTTCGCCTGTGCCAATCTGTTGATCCACCCCTCTCAGTGTCAGCTGTAGCTGCCAAATGTATGACTGCAGCTGTCTTTGCTGGGTACTTCTCTAGGCCCCAAGGACATAAGAACTTTGGCAGCCAAATCCCTGCAAAGAATCCCATTTCCCATATCTCAAGGCTTCTATTTCCTGAATTTCAGGATAATGATTATACAATGTTGAATTTTGGACAAAATGTCCATGCATCCTCTAAATTCTACCTTTCTGCCTTTAAACAATATCCCTGCTTCTCCCCCTCATCACCACAGTATTCCTATCATCCATTTCCCACTTTTATAATTCTACAGCTTCCAGATTCTAACCCTATCATTATTCATTCAGATTTAGAAATAAAGCCCAAAGTTTTACAAGCCTTGTCACTAACCATGAAATAATCAATTTAATCCCCAAATGCTAAGGTAGATGTTACCCTTTTACTATCTCATTCCCAAATAGATAACTTCATCCAGATCAGGTTGTTAAGGCTAAAATATGAAGAGATTTTGGGTTTTGCAAAAATAACGTGATCTTTGTTTTATAAGAAAGAAAAATACATATATGTATGAAGTAAAAGGAAAAGATATCCTCAGCTCCATGCCAATCTCATTCTCAAAAGTTGCCCCATTTTGGTGTTTATCCTACTGGCATTTTTTTTTTTTTTTTTGGTGGTACGCGGGCCTCTCACTGTTGTGGCCTCTCCCATTGCAGAGCACAGGCTCCGGACATGCAGGCTCAGCGGCCATGGCTCATGGGACCAGCCGCTCCGCGGCATGTGGGATCTTCCCGGACCAGGGCACGAACCCGTGTCCCCTGCATCGGCAGGCAGACTCTCAACCACTGCGCCACCAGGGAAGCCCCTACCAGCATTTTTTTAAATGAAGCTGTAAGTATATACATATATTAATTTTTTCCTATAGAAATAAAGCCCTAAATATTTTGCAACTTCATTTTTTCACTTAACAATAGTGGCTATGTTTCCATGTCAGTATATTAGATCTTTGGTCTTTTAATGGCAGCTTAAAATTCAGTATCATCAATCAATTTTAACTTTATAAACAATGCTATAATGAACACCTTTCTAATACTGTATTTCATCAATTCTAGACTATGCTTATTTTCACATTTTAATATCTCCAAAATTGGAATGCATCTTTCAGTTAGTGTTATATTTGGTGAATAAAATATAATCTTGAACACCTATGTAAGCTTTTCTGCATGACATTTTCTTAGAAGTAAAATTAATGGAAAACAGGTATAAGCAATTTTATTTTGATAGATACCACTAAATTATCTTTCAAAATGTCTTTGCATACCTACAAAATATGACAGTATTCTTATGAAGTATCAAATGTTTTACAACCTAAAGAGTAAAATATGGTTTTTCATTGTTTATTGACAATTATATAATTATGAGTGAGACTGAACATCACATTCCTTCTGCTAAGAATTTCTTTATCATATCCTTTGTCCATTTTTTCCCATTAGGTTGTCTCTTCTTATTGAATTATGGCAGTGTTTTTTATGTTATAGTTTCTTTGTGCATGTTTGTGTGTGTGTATGAGTATTTTTCTCCTAATTTGGGGGGGTTTTTTTAAAACTTTTTTTAGTGTATTTTGCTATACAACACCTCGGAAACTGCTCTCATTGCCATCAGTATGCTTCATATTCCAGTGTATACGTTCATCATCAACTTACCTGATCTACGGGCTACATTCAGCTCAACTATTCCTTCCCTATTAAAACATTTTCTTCTGTTGGCTTTTATGACTCCCTTCCAAGTCCACTGCCACCACTCCAAACAATCATCATCTCTCACTGCACTACTGCAATGGCATCCTCAACAATCTGCTTCTACTCTTGTTCCCCCAAAATCCATTCTCCCTCAACAGTTAAGGTAATCTTTTACTTCCAACATCTAATTTTGAAATATTTCCCACATATAGAAAAGCTGAAATAATTTTACCGTGAGCACCATTATTCCCCTGATCTAGATGTTTCCTAGGTCCTACCATGAATGTTTGACTATTCTTGCTGTTACATACCCATCTATCCATCCACTCATCAATTCATGTTATTTATTGATGCATTTCAAAGTAAATTGCAGTAATCAGTACACTTCCCCCCTAAAGACTTCACTATGCATATGTTTACTTTTGTTTACATTCTTCCCTCTATAGGTAAAATTTATATACAAACAAATACACAAATCTTGAGTTTGGACAAATGCATACACCAGGTTAACCTAAACTATGCTCAAGAGGTGGAACATCACCACTTCCCCAAAAAGTTTCTGCCTGCTTCTTTGCGGTCAATCCCTGCTCTCACATCCCCTAACCCCCCAGAGGCAACTTCCTGTTCTGATATTTTCTCTATCATACATTAGTTTCCTCTCTTTTAAAACTTCAAATCAGTGAAAAGGTACTGTATTGTGCTATATTTCCTAAATTTACCATTTATTGCCTCTCAGCTCCAAATTCACCCATTTTGCCTGCTCTGTGAAAACAGATATGGGCCTTTAAAATATTTCTCTTTCAACAGCTGGCACAACATCAAGCTTTATCAATCAGGGCACAGGAGAGACATTGCAGGAGGAGAAAAGCCTTTTTTTCTCCCTGGTTCCAGTGTGCTCACCTGGCAGCACGCACAGCTTCTTCAGCATCCAGTTCCTGCATCTCAGGAAGTTCTTCCAGCATCAGGCTCCTGCAGCGCTTGTGGCTTCTCCATGCCCAGCTCCTGCTGTGTGCAGCAGCTTCCCTTAGCACTCACCCCCACCCCAACTTGGGTAGTTTGGCAACAGAGTGCCCCCAGTGAGACATCACCCCCTTAATAGATTTCCCTGGCACCACAGAGAACACATTTCCAGCAAGTTCGACCAGCACAATGATTTCTCTGCCATTCATTTAGCTGGGGGACAGGGTGGGGAGGCTCTTCCCTGGGCACACTGTCTCAGCTTTAAGGATAGTAACTGCTCCTTATTTCTGCTATATCTCCATTCTTTAGAGTTTTCTTTACTTCTTAACGGCCAGCTGCTTGTTACTCCATTCTCTGTTACAGTTAACAATTCTTTATATTGAGCCTTCCCTATTAAATTGCTGTGTGGTTGCTCTCTCCTGATTGCACCCAGACTGATAAAAATATGTACTTTTTGATGTTAGGATTTTTTTCACTCAGCTTCACGTTTTTGATGTTCATCCATAGTGCAGTATCAATGGTTCATTTCTTTTTATTGCTGAATAGTATTCCCTTATGTAAATATAACACACTGTTTACCTCTTCTCCTAATGATGAACACCTGGACTGTATTCAGTTTGGGGAAACTATGAATAGAGCTATTATAAACATTCCTGTACAAGATTTTTTTTTTTTTTTTTTTTTTTTGCGGTACGCAGGCCTCTCACTGCTGTGGCCTCTCCTGTTGCGGAGCACAGGCTCCGGACGCGCAGGCTCAGCGGCCATGGCTCACGGGCCCAGCCACTCCGCAGCATGTGGGATCTTCCCGGACCGGAGCACGAACCCGCGTCCCCTGCATCGGCAGGTGGACTCTCAACCACTGCGCCACCAGGGAAGCCCCTCCTGTACAAGATTTAATACACTTTTTATTTTAGAATGTTTGATTTACAGAAAACTTGCAAAGATAATATCCCATATATCCCTCATGTAGTTTCAGTTTCCTCTAATATTATCATCACACATTACCATGGTACATTTGACAAAAGAAAGAAGCCAACATTGACCCATTACTATAAACTAAACTCCAGATTTCCAGTCTTTCCATCCATGTTTTTTCTGTTTCAGGATATAATCTAGCATACCACATTGCATTTTGTTAATCATGTCTCCTTAGTCTTCCTTGGTCTGTAACAAGTTCTCAGTTTTTTCTTGTTTTTTGGTAACCTGAACAGTATTGAGAAGTACTGGTCAGTTATTTCATATAGAAGTTCTCTAAATGTCTCTTAATGTTTTATCTGATGGTTTTCTCATAATTAGTCCGGAGTTAGGGTTTGGGGGAAGAAAACCACAGAGGTGAAATACACTTCTCATCACATCTTATCAGAGGGCTCGTGATGTCATCATGGCATTACTGGTGATTTTACCTGTGATCATTTTGTTAAGATAGCATTTGCCAGGTTTCTCCATTGTAAAGCTACTATTTCCCCTTCCATACTCTAAATGATTCACTGAGTTCGGTCTGCCTTCGAGGAGAGAGATTACACTCTACCTCCCAAAAAGAGAGTATCTACATGTATTATTTGAGATTTTTCTGTAAGTAGGAGTCTGTCCTCTCCATTTATTTATTTATTTATTCAATTATTTATTTATATTACTGTGGACTCATATATATTTTATACTTTGGATTATAATCCAAACTATGCTATTTTGTTACCCAATTTGTTCCAGCTCTGGCCATTGGCCCCTGTATCTTTGACATGCCTTCATCTTTTTGTTTTTTGAGCACCTCCCTACTTTCTGGCCTACAAAGTGCTCCAGGCCATCTTGTATTTTACCTTACACAGCCTGAGAATTAGCCATTTCTCCAAGGAGCTCTGATTCCTTTTATTGGAGAATGGCATTTAGAAATCAAGATCTGGGCTCTGGGCATGTTTGCTGTTAATGGGTTGTCAGTGCTTCTGGACCCTCTCAGCAGACAAAACTAGATAATATATGATGTATACTAACCTAAGAATTCATACAAATCTATAATCATCTTTGTGTCTATCTGTATAAGCTAAACATTAGTACATACTGATGTCTCTGACTCCATTCTAGTACCACAGAGTTTATTCTAGCCTTCCCTTCTTATTTATTTGAAACTTCCCTCCTGACAGTGAGAAACCTTGCTCCCACTATCCATCAGCCATTTACTTATTTTTGCAACCCCAAAGTACATTTAAATGTGTTTCAGAATTATTAATGTGTACTCTCAGTACAAGCCTTTTCAAGGACATATGTTTTTATTTCTCTTGGATAAATACCAAGGAGTACAATTGCTGACAGCAGGGCATGTTTATAAAACATTCCAGACCTTTTCCAAAGTTGTTGTACCATTTTAAGGGCTTTTTTAAACTTAAATCAGATTTCTTCTAAGTTAAAACTCTTCAGTGGATTCCTGGTTTAGTTGGAATTAAATCCAAAATCCTTAATCTGGTCTACAAAATTCTATGTGATCTTATCCCTGACAAATTTTTTCCAAGCTCATCTCTTGCCATCTTTCCCCTTATTCACTATGTTTCAGCCACCTTGAATTTTTTAAATTATTTCCTTAGAGCTTCAAAAAACCAAGGAGTCTCCCAGCCTTCATATATACTGATCCCTCTGCCTGGAATATTTTCTTCCATAATGTCTAGTTCTAGAGTATTCTGCAGGGCTCTATATTCTTCAGTTTATATATAACCTCCTTAGAGAGGCCTTCCTTGCCCATTCAATCAAATATAGCTTTTACTTGTTACTCTGTCTTATAGCAAAATTTTCACATTTAGTAATTACATTGAGACTAATTCACCATAATTAGTACTTATATTTTTATTTTGTTTACTTATTTTCTATATTTGCCACTAGACTATAATATGCATGACAGTAGGAACCATATGCATTTTGTTCACACTATATTCAGAAACTAGAACAATACCTGCACATGGTAATGCTCAATAAAAATCTGCCGAGAGAATAAATATATAAATGAAAAGAGGAGTTTTAAATTTTTAAATGGTTAAATCTGTCAGTCTTTTCCTTGATAACTTTTGTTTTGCATCTCACTAAGGAAAGCCTTGCCTGGAAGACTATAAAAATAAACTATTTTATATATTATTTATTTATATATAAGTATTATATACAACATATAATTTTATTTATTTAAATTTTACTCTCATTAAAAGTTTAATATATTTAATATTAAAGTTTATATTAATATTAAGATTTAGTATTTATTCATTAAAATTTATTGTTTATTCATTAAAATATTTATATATAAGTTATTTATATATTTTTCTAGTACTTTTTTTCAGCTTCCCAAAAACTTTATTTATTTATTTATTTATTTTTGTGATACGCGGGCCTTTCACTGTTGTGGCCTCTCCCGTTGCGGAGCACAGGCTCCAGACGCGCAGGCTCAGTGGCCATGGCTCACGGGCCTAGCCGCTCCGCAGCATATGGGATCTTCCAGGACCAGGGCACGAACCCGTGTCCCCTGCATCGGCAGGCGGACTCTCAACCACTGCGCCACCAGGGAAGCCCTAGAACTTTATGTTTTTAATTGAAATATAGTTGATTTGCAATGTTGTCTTAATTTCTGCTGTACAGCAAAGTGATTCAATTATACCTATATATACATTCTTTTTTTATATAGATTATTTTCCATTATAGTTTATCATAGACTATTGAATATAGTTCCATGTGCTATACAGTAGGACCTGGTTTATCCATTCTATATATAACAATTTGCATCTGGTAACCCCAAATTCCCAAGTACTTTTATAATTATATAATTACTTTTATAATTATATATTCTACATTAAAATTCTAATGCACATAAAATTTATGTTTGTGTATGACAGGACATAGATTCATAGTTCTTTTCCAAAACAAATAGGAATTTTCTCAACACCATTTGTTAAATAGTCTGTCTCACTCCTGTGGTTTGAAATGTGTCCTTTTGTATACTAAATTCTCATATATATAATGATATGTTTCTAGATGTCTGGTATTTCATTGATTTATTTATCTGTCTCTACAAAAGAACCACACTGTTTTGAGTAGCATAGCTTCTAACTATGGTAGAGCCAAGCACACCATCTATCACCACCATCACAACTACTCTTATTTATTTTCAAACACTTCCTTGCAATCAAGTTGTGAAGTTCAAAACAGGTCAAAGAACCCTAGGATTTTTCATTGAAATTTCCTTGAATATACATAATAATTTAAGAAGAAATTAAACTTTTATTGTATTGTCTTCCTACCCAGAAATATGGTAAATGTCTCCATTTTCTCAGATTTTCTTTTATGTAATTCATTCTTAATATTGTTCCGTATGACTAGAGCCAGAGCATTTATATAACCTCAGAATTAGAAGAAACTTCCAAGATAGCCCCTGGCTACAACATGCACCTCAGCAACATGCAATGCTTTTACACTGCTATTGTATTGCTGAGGTACTCACTCCCTCCTGAGGAAATTCATTTTATTATGAAATAGTTAATGACTTGGATAATGAGATAACAGTCTCATTGAAAGGTCAGAAGGGTCTTATAATTGTTCTGTTCCACAGTTTCCCTCCCTATACAAAACATGTTTTTAGTGCTGAGTATTTTGACCAGTATCTATAATATTTTGCAAACTTGTACATTTTACAAAGCTATATCGGATAATTGGCTGCTCAGTTAATGAAAGAGATGGATGTAAGTCTTTACAAAGGAACACTTACCTCACAGCCAAATATTATGCAATGTTTCTGAAATCACTGTTCTGTTTTTTCAATGTTCTTATCATTGTTGCTGAAACATAGTAATCCCTTGATTAATACTTGTTGAATTAATGAATTATTGAATGGATTATTTTTAAGGATTTATTTCTTCTGATAACAGGAGGCCATAACTATATTTAAAGAAAACATTTTCTACTGCAGAGAAACAGTAAAGGAAAGACCTCCTTAATTACAGACTTTCTAATATCCTTTTCGGGGAAACTACATTCACAAAATTTCTTTTGCCAATGGCAACCACTGCCTTGTAAAAAAAATTACATGATTTAGTTGGGTGCAATGGGATATGCGTGTGTGTGTGTGTGTGTGTGTGTGTGTGTGTACACGTGATGCAAAAAAAAAAAATTTCCTAGATGCAAAGACAGGGGAAAAGAAGGCCCTATATAGCAAAGTACTCTCATCTACTAGTAAAACAATCATCAGAATCAAAAGAATTGGCTAAACCAATTCCTATCAAGCTATAGGAAGCTTTGATATTCATAGTTTCATACTTTTGCTAGTGGAAATACAGATTTTATTCATTTATTCTAATCCAGTAGATGGTGCTACATGTCTGTCTATGTAAAGTACCACAAATACCTCTTTTTTTCAATCTTTTCTTTCTTTTTTAGCCAGAACTATCATCAAGGTCTACTTTATAATGAAGCTCATTATTCCTGACATCTGAGTCAAATCTCTGGGTGCAGTATTAAAGATGTTCTTGAGGAGAAAACCCCCCAGAAATAACTGTGGCCCAAATACCAACCTAACAATCTATTAACAACTATTTTCCCCCAGCTCATTCTCACTGTAAAATGACAAAATCTTTGGTGTGACACAGAACTCTGTGTCATTCCATTAAAAAACATCCAGATGCAAAATCAGAGTCCCTTTTATTCTTCTAAACACTGTTAGTTGCTATTAATGTGAAGCAACCATAACAATGATAATAATTAACAATGAAAGTTTAAATGTAAGATTGTCTTGGATAGATCAACATGTAAATTAACCATTTAGAAGATAACTTATGCTAAAAAACTTAGGTATATGAAATTTTATAAACAAAGTTTGTTGAATCTGATTAAGTGAACCATACAAATTAATGTTTCATTGTGAATCGTGAAAGACTGAAAGTTTTAGAAAAGTAGGGACTCTAATTAGGTATCAGGAAAAATAATCCATATCACCCACCACCCTACAAATAGTTCATTTATGTTACTTATTTACTAGAAACACAATAATGAAAATTGACATATAATCTGAATCAGAAGTTATCAATTTTTTTGGCTTTTCATATTTTTGTAGATTTGTGATATGTTATTAGCTCACAAATTTATAATGCTTTGAAAGTGTCATTGTATATAAAATAAGGATAAGAAGAAGACATCTACTACTAATATTAAATTAGAACATTTTTACTATTTTATTAGTTTATTGTATTAAATTTTGATTAACTGTGATGTTATTTCACAAAGTCCTCTCACATACTTTGAAAATTCTTTTACTCTTTTCATTGTATCAAAAGAAAAATGAGAGCTATAATTACTAGTTTTAGATGAGTTCTATATATAATATAGGTATTAATAATCTGCTGACCAAAGGCTTAATAAAATGATTTTATTCAGTGAATTATATCACTTTAATGACTAGATTCTAATACAAATACAGGGACGTCAGAAGTAACCTTTCAGATGACTATTTTATCATTTATGCTTTCCTTAATTCATATCTTCATTAACTCTTTCACCAGTCTTTGAATAAACACAAAGAGGCAGAGTTGCATGGATTATTCTTAGGTAGGTTATGCAACATGGAAAAGCCATGATCTTAATCCAGGAATGACATCTTCATGAAAAAGCCAAAAAAATGCAATTTAAATGGTCAGTTATAATATAGGCAAGGTAAGGTAATATAAATCAACTTATGTATCTATCACGAGCAAGGTCAGGGTGGAGGTGCCACTAAATCTCCTTTGTGTAACTAGCTTACCTGGAGGTAGTTATATTGACCCAATGACTAGATGAGCCACAGGGGATGCAACTTCTTAAAAGAAGGGGCTTTTTTATTTTTGTTTTTCTGAGGTATGATAATTGACATATGTAGAGTTTGTCATTCATTAAAGAAACATTGACCTAAGCCCTTAATTTACAAAATTGAAAAAGTGATTATCCTTCCCCTCAAGGTGTTTACCATCAAGTGGAGAAACCGCCGACAAAAGCCGTCTCCTAACAGGTAACTGCCTCCGTAATCGATCTCTCTAATACCGTCTCCACGCCTCAGCCAAAATGAGTTTTTTAACCCACAAATCTTAGCACGTCATCCCTCCCCAGCTCTCCAAGGCCTCCCTAACATGGATTCTGAGGCCCTCATGAACTGGGCCTTCTCCCTCCCCCCTCTCGTCTCTCACTCTTCTTCATCTCACACTGGGAATTCTAGCCCGAGTGAATTTGTTTCCTTTTCTTCAAGTTCTCTCTCACTTTAAGCCTTAGCACATCTGTTCCTGCTGCCTGGGCACTCTTCCCATATTTTCCCAGCTAATGTCTACCTTCCCTGACCTATATACATTTCCCCTGGCATCATATTTCGGCTATCATGACATTTCCTCTGTTTACTTCCCTGAGTCCCCCTATTACATTGTAAGCAACATAGGTCAGAGAGGTCTAGCTGATTTAACACTGGCTCCCCAGCACTAGGCACACAGTAGACATTCATCATTCCTTTATTCACTCATTCTCATTGTATAGTCATTGAGCACCTAATGTGTGACATGCTCTCTGTAGTAAGTGATAGTGATATGTATCAGTGAGAAAAACTAGTAGGATGCTGCCCTCCAGAACTTTTGTTAAATGAGCTAAAGCATACCAAGTGCACACAGTATGGCAAAGCTATCAGGACTCATCAGGGAAGCATGTCTGTCTCCAGGTGGGAGGGGATCAAGGGCAGAGCAGTCACACCATTAGAATAAGGACTTACCTCCTAAATGTAAGACCAGATACTATAAAACTCTTAGAGGAAAACATAAGCAGAACACTCTCTGACATAAATCATAGCAAGATCTTTTTTGATCCACCTCCTAGAGTAGTGAAAATAAAAAAAATTTAAAAAAAACAAATGGGACCTAATTAAACTGAAAAGCGTTTGTACAGCAAAGAAAACCATAAACAAAACGAAAAAACAACCTACAGAATAGGAGAAAATATTTGCAAACAATGTGACTGACAAGGAATTGATCTCCAAAATTTACAAAGAGCTCATGCAGCTCATGTGAAAGAAACAAACAACTCAATCAAAAAATGGGCAGGAAACCTAAATAGACACTTCTCCAAAGAAGATGTACAGATAAATGGCCAACAAACACATGAAAAGATGCTCCACATTGCCAATTATTAGAGAAATGCAAATGAGGTATCACTTCACACAGTCAAAATGGCCATCATCAAAAAGTCTATAAAACAATAAATGCTGGAGAGGGTGTGGAGAAAAGGGAACCCTCCTACACTGTTGGTGGGAATATAAATTGATACAACCACACTGGAGAACAATATTGAGGTTCCTTCAAAAACTAAGAATAGAGCTACCATATGATCTAGCAATCCCACTCCTGGGTGTATATCCAGAAAAAACAATGGCTTGAAAGGATACATGCACCCCATTGTTCATTGCAGCACTGTTTACAATAGTCAAGACATGGAAGCAACCTAAATGTCCATTGATCAATGAATGAATAAAGAAGATGTGCTAGGGCTTCGCTGGTGGCGCAGTGGTTGGGAGTCCGCCTGCCGATGCAGGGGACGCGGGTTCGTGCCCCTGTCCGGGAGGATCCCACATGCCACGGAGCGGCTGGGCCCGTGAGCCATGGCCGTTGAGCCTGCGCGTCCGGAGCCTGTGCTCCGCAACGGGAGAGGCTGCAACAGTGAGAGGCCCGCATACCGAAAAAAAAAAAAAAAAAAAAAAGATGTGCTACATATATACAATGGATTATTACTCAGAAATTAAAAATAATGAAATAATGCCATTTGCAGCAGCATGGATCGACCAAGAGATTATCATACTAAGTGAAGTAAGTTAGACACAGAAAGACAAATACCATATGATATTGCTTACATGCAGAATCTAATAAAATGATACAAATGAACTTATTTACAAAACAGAAACACTCACAGACTTAGAGAACAAATTTATGGTTACCAGGGGGAAAGGGTTTGGGGAAGGCTAGATTGGCAGTTTGAGATTGACATGTATACACTACTATATTTAAAATAGATAACCAACAAGGACCTACTGTATAGCACAGGGAACTTGGCTCAATATTCTGTAATAACCGAAATGGGAAAAGAATTTGAAAAAGAATGGACACTCGTATGGGTATAACTGAATCACTTTGCTGTACACCTATAACTAACACATCATTGTTAATCAACTACACTCCAATATAAAATTAAAATTTTAAAAAATGTAGCCAATGAGAAAACAATAAAATATATGCACTCTATAAAAAAAAAAGAATAAGGTCTTACCTGAAACTCCAAAGATGGGGATATAAATGTTCCTGGCGAAAAGCTGAGGTGAAAGTGTATTCCAGGTAGAGAGAATAACAATAAAAAGGTAATAATATGGAAAATCTTGAGCCTGAGAGGTGAAGAGAAGTGAGAAATTACAAGTAGTTCAACACTACTGAATGGGGAATGGGGTGACTTTTGAGGGTAGCATTTGCCTGGGAGAGTAACATGAGATGAGGCAGGGAGAATTGAAAGGTACCACAACACAAAGATACTTTCTTATAGACAATAGGGACACACAATAATTTTAAATGGGGGAGATGAATGGAAAATGGATCAGTAATGAGGGTCTGAAATAGGGAAAGAGAAAAAAGGCAGAAGATAAGACTTTGTGACTGTTTAAAAGTGGGACCAGGGCTTCCCTGGTGGCGCAGTGGTTGAGAGTCCGCCTGCCGAAGCAGGGGACACGGGTTCGTGCCCCGGTCCGGGAAGATCCCACATGCCGCGGAGCGGCTGGGCCCGTGAGCCATGGCCGCTGAGTCTACACATCCGGAGCCTGTGCTCTGCAACGGGAGAGGCCACAACAGTGAGAGGCCCGCGTACCGCAAAAAAAAAAAAAAAAAAAAAAGGTGGGACCAACCAAGAGAATGGTCTTCTCATTCTGTGAGAAATATTGGGGACCAGTGGGCTTGGGATGAGAAAAGCTAGCTCCAAAATCTGCCAGCAATATTGTGCCACAAGTAGCAGAGTTTTCAAAATATCCTTAACATTATCTCATCAAAGTGTAAATGTGGTTTTGCTTAGACTTTCCAACCTTATATATTCTCTCACGTGCTTGACAATCCCACTCTACGTCATCAGAATATATAGCATCGCCTACGGGTACCTGCATGTTTTTGCACATGATTAGAATGTTATTCTCCCGGGACCATGGTAGACACAGAAAAACAAAGAAAACAAATTACAGGAAGTAATATCCTGTGTCTTATGCTATCCCAGCATTTAGTAAAGAAAATATTGGTATTGGCTTTCTTTGCTTTCAGTACTGCTCTTCAAAACAATACCAAGATTCTTTCATTTCCTTCTTTGTTCTTCTGTGAACTTTTTTCATATTCTTTACAACAAGCTTGAATTTTTTTATAACCAGAAGAAAAATACTTTTTAACAACAATAATACTACCCCCCCAAAAAAAAATCCTTGGGAGGTAGTGGGGAGTTGGTGAAACAGCAAACAAAAAACACACCCACCGTATAATCACTATGTAGAAAAAGGTAGGGTAAACATACAAGAAAATGTGTGTTGTCATGATACTGTAACACACCATCCATTTGAGTGCAGTATAAAAACAAGGCTGGTTCAGAGCTGCAGCTTGAACCTTCCATGCTTCTGTACGGAAAAAGCACCACTCCACTGGGCTAACAAACTTGGCTTTTTTATAGTTGAGGCTTTAAGAGACACTGCAGAGAGCTGGCTTACTTTAATTCAACGAGCTATAGCTTCCCACAAAATATATGGGTAAGTTTACTCAAAGCACTTTTTATCAGTTGTCAATCTGTTTCCTAGCCTGCATTTGGCTACATTTCAGGTAGCAAAGGAGAAAGCAGGTATTATCCTAAGGTTTTTGCCCTAGGGGAACTAATTGTTGCCTATTACTTTAGTGAATTGTATGTGAAGTAACTGCTGTTCTTCTACTATGTTCTGTAGTATTATTCACATAAATCTTATGTAAAGCTAGGTCTGTATACAATCTACTCAGTTTAGTCAAAAGTGGGTGATGTCTATATACGTGTACCTAGATAGTTGGAAGTGGTGGTTATGTCATTCACCCCATGTTGAGACATCAGTGAAGGTGTATTGATTCCTTCCTCTTGGAATCTGTTCAGTGTGTCTGCCCACATTCTAAGAATTTTATGTCATCCATTGTTTTTCTTCTCTACACGTTGAAGGCTGATCTCCTGGTATTCCTATAGCATTACCTTACTCCAAAGTCTTTTGTGAATGAGTTTCTTAAGTTTCGGTGAGTATTTCTGAAAATACAAACTATTCTGCCACCTTTTTCTCATCTTTGAACTCTCACTGAGGTTCATGTAAGGGTGGCTAATAATGGTAGGACAGAGAGAGTGAAAGAGAGACAGGTGGGGGAGAGAGAGAAAGAGATGCACACATTAACTAACAGTTTTCTCTTATGAACAAGAAAATTGGCCATTTTCCTACTAGCATATGAGGAACCTAAGACTGTCCCTTGTTGTCAAGGCAACAGCTGTTCCTTGGGTAGCCTCAATAGAAAAGAAGCCAGAGCAATCTTTGTAGGATCAAGTCTTTTTTATCATCAAATCATAGAAAGGAATCTTGAGAGTCTACCCAGCCTATTCTCCTGCCTTTAGTTAAGACCTACGAAAATAATTTGAAACTAATACAAAAAAGTCTTATTCTGAATAATTCTGAAAAGATTACGTAGTTTTACTTGGTAATCATTTGCAGTGTTTTACATTTCACACTAATTATAAGTTTTTTTTCAATCATTCTAACTTAAATCTTCCATGCTGCAGTTTGAAATCCACTTCCTATTGTTCTAATCTCAGTGGAAATAAACAACTGTATACTTCCTAAGAGAGTCTTGCCTGTGCTTAAAAAAAAACAAAAATGTCTGACAAATTCCTCAAAGTGAATAATGTGGTCTTTTTTTTTTTTTTTTTTAGCCATTTGTATTGTAGGTCCCCTCTGATGAAGTC